TACTGCTCCCGTAGCAGGTCACAGTCATGCCGGGCCGACTGCAGCGCGTGGGCCAGCGCGTTCTTCGCCTGCGGAGGGGCGGGCACCGGGAGGAGGGCTTATCTCCCAGGAAGGTGGGAGGGAATGCCCCCCCTCCCCATCATTCTCTAGATCTTTCTCATCTCCATGAAGTTCAAATAAGCCCAGCCTCGCTCATTCAGGGTGAAGGCTGGTGTGGAGTCTCAGCGTCTTAGAGTAGCTTTCCAGCTTGCCCACCCCACTCCTAGCAAATAAGGAAAGAGGCATTCGATGATGTTCAGGTGTGGCTTAGCTGGAGCGTAGAGGAACCTAGACTGGGGGGCCTTTCCACCACAAACAGAGTCTTCTCTCCAGCCTCCGGGCTCCATTCCTGGTGTTGATGCAATTTAATTACCAGGGCTGCTGTCAAGCCTGTCCCACTGTCCCCTAGCTGGGCCTCACCTTGCCCTCCTCCTCCAGCTGCCTCTTGAGGTCCTCCAGCTGCTGGGTATAGTAGAGCTTGCCTCGGGTCAACTGGGAGATCAGCGCCTCCTTCTCATCCAGCTGCCGGGACAGCTCACCTAGAGGTGGGAACAAGAGAGAGTTTGTGGGCTATGGAAGGGGGCAACTGGTGCCTGACCCTGTGGCAGGCGCAGGGCCGGTTAGGGGCACCCACCATTCTCTGTCTGCAGCTTGGCTCGCTGGGTGGCGAGGTCATTGAGAGAGCGTTGGGTCTCTTCCAGCTTTGCGCGGTACTCATTGGCCTGGTCCTCCAACGTCCGGGACACCTTCTCCAGGTTTGCCTTCAGGCAGTAAGGGACAACTTGTCATGGAGAAGGGGCTGGATGGACCAGAGAAAGGAAGGGAGGGCCAAGGTGGGGAGAGCACAGGGCTCAGGGGCTGAAACGGAGAGATGCTGGAGGGTGTGGTCTGAAGGGGTGCATGAATTAAAGGAGCTGTGAGTGGAGGCAGGGAAGGCGAGGGAGAGAGCGAGACAGAGAGCAAGGGCTGATGAAGGAGTGACAATGAGAGGACAAGGCAGAGAGAGTGGAAGGAAGACCGCTGTGGGAGAGAAGGGGGTGAGGACGGTGAGCAGGCAGCCCACCTTGGCCTTGATGATCTGCTCCATGTTGGAGGTGACATCGTCCAGCTCCAGCTTGAACTCGCTCTTCTCCTTCTCCA